TTTTTAAGTGGGAGAACTTGCACAATTGGTGGCTGACTAAATACTTTTTTGCCTCACTGTATATAAATATTAAGCCTGCAAATCTACTTCAAATAGATGGCCCTGGTTATTGCCAATATAGCTGTAATGGTATGCCATGGTAAAAACATGCCATGGAAAAGAAAGAAAAAAAAATATGTGAAAAAGAATGGGAAAGGTCATGCATGCCCCTAAACATTTGGAACTATTTTATCTGGACTGAGCTCTAGTCACCTATGGCAAAAAGCTTTCCAGGTTTTTATAGTGCTTTAGAAACCTACATTAACACAAAGGCTTCACTGGAGCAGAAAATATGAAATTGCATACTAGTCTTCTCCTATTTAGTGGGTTTTCAGTTCCCGTAATCCCCAGTCATCTTGGGAGAGCCATACTGTCTAGAGAATATGGAATGGAACACTTTCATATCTCTAATATACTATATGTTTCTAATATTTATGTAGCTGTCCTATGAAAGAGGCCAGTGATCCTATCCTTGTACTACAGACTATATGAAGAAGGGAGAATGAAGGGCTTGCAGTCCTAAAGTCACTCGGAGGGCCTGTTTGCATGACATTCTTAAACTGGGTCATGGCTTATGGTCAGCCTGTTAGGTAATCAGGGAAACTGGATCAGTTGACCGAATCTATTAATTATAATGCACATCTAACTCCAAGGCGTCAGTGGCTTGAGGAGATAGAACTAGTTCATATGCTTTCACTCTCTTCTTCAAGTAATCTCATTTCTTGAGTAGGAAAGACACGAGCAGAACTGTGTTTCCAACCAGATGTACTCGTGTCCCATTTCCCTGTACCATAGCATACTTTTTGTGAATGCAGCAGATACCAGAGTTACCATTGTCATCAGATTCCAAGCCAGCTGCTTGACTGTACCTGCTATATCCAGAATATGATAATGATCTTTTAGCTTTAAATGATGCTTGTTGGTCATGTATTTTTTAATTTTTATTTTTTGAAATAACATTATATATCACCATGAGTTTAATCTGGAGCACTTGTCTAACCACGTTTTGCTTTTCCAAATGTTAGATCTCTACTAAAATAAATATTCTGCCCCTGGGTGCCACATCAAGTGTGAGAACTCCAACCGTTGAAGAGCTGAAAACGTACACAGCACAACTTGACAACCTAAGCCAGGAAGCATCTACTCAGATACAGGTACTAAAGACATTTCTCCGAGTTACGTAAGTGGCCACCATAGCAGATGAACAGGATCCAGCTTGCGCATCCCAAAATAGCTATTCTCAATCCAGTTAACTACCCATAAAATGACTGCATCATAAAGGCATTCTGGAATAAGTGCTCAATATTTTGTAGACTCACAACTTAGTTCTTGAACATGGTTGTCTTCTGTATATGTTTGCATTGTAAATATTAAGCAGTGGACTTCAGGCCAGAATTTTGGAAAGTGCAGTTTCTCGTGTGAGGGTGAGAAATGTTGGGCCTAATGATATGATTGCTTTTATGTAACTATGAAAATAATGCAAAGTGCTGTCTTCCTCTACATCAAGTCACCCTAGAGATCACTTTCAAGTTCCCTGTAGTGCCCAATGTAGATGCCCTTTTCTATCATCTTCCCATTTTTGTTTACCAGTTACTGTAGGCGGCACTGAGGTGGATGGACAAATGATCTGACGTGGTATAAGCTTCTTCCTGTTTTCTTAATAAATAAAAATAATAATGAGCCACAGATATATCTACTGCAATGCCAGCATGAATATATTTACACTGGCTCATATGCTGCTTCCTCATAAGTACCAAGGTCTTTAGAGGGAATTGAAAACATGTCTCTCCCCATTTTGTAGGAAAATGAAACAGGAGAAAATGCATTAAGCCTGGATCAGAAACTCTTTGAGTTGCTTCTGGCGATCAGCCGCTGCCTGAACAACATGGAGCAGATGTTAGGCACCTGTGTGCTCTCCAGTGATGAAGCTCCTGTACAGCAAGTACTTTATGAGGTCAGTACAAATGGGAGCATTTATGAAGTCTAAAGCAGCGTATACTTTATATCTTTGCATCATTTCAAAAAACATTCATCACATGGCATTAGATGCAGAGGTTTCCTGAGAATGCTGCCTTTCATTTAAAAAGAAGAAAGACATGCAAATTTCTGGCCACTAAAATTGTACAGATATGACTGAAAAACTGGGGAATGTCTGAGAAAATCTCAGAAGTTTAGAAGGGTTGCTGGTCTGGATCCTGGACAATTGGGATCAGTTTTCATTTGATCTGATTTATACTTACTGAACTAACAGGACTGGATTGAAATGCGGTTATTCTTCTAATTATGCACGTCTTTGAATTTGTTGATACGATTCCCAGCTCATGAAGCAGCAGGTAAGAAGCAGCAATTTTTGCTGGTTTCCTCCATAGCCACCTGCTCAGAGCCGCTCCCAAGTATTGGAGCGAATTGGAGTGAGTGTCAGGAAGTGTACATTTCCTTCCAAGCAAAAGTGGAGTACTTTGGGGGGACAGGCACCTACACCTTGGGGGGTCTTTGTTGCTTTCATGGGCCACAGGGGATGTACAGGTGACACAACTATCTTATTGGAGGATGCAGAGCTGAAATTCTTATCTTTTGGGTGATGGGGATAAGATTTTCTATTTTATAATAGATTAAGCCTAGCAGAGGCTTAATGCGCATGTTTTAGGACTTTTATGATGTTGAAAATCTGTCAGTTGATCTGGATTATCTGCTCCTGCTACACGGCCTTCAAAACTATTATTGTATCTGACCTATAGGCTTAGACAGTTCCAGTTCCACTTGCACATTCCTCCTTGTTTTCAAAGAGCAAAAAAAAAAAAGAGAGAGAGAGAGAATTCAGGACACTGTACTCAGATAAACATCAAAAAAATGTATTGGCTAGTTGTTTTTCTATTCCAGAAAATGCTCAAGCAGCTAATAAAATTTACAAACAAAAAATGAGTATAGAAAGTTAAAAAACATAAATTAATCCTTAAATTCATATTAAATACTTTAACGTCTTGAAATCCTGGTGAAAGAGATGCACCATTCTAAATGGTAAGGGAGCAGGGGTTAAACACAATTTCTGAAGGAATGTGTTCCACTAACCTTGGAGCAATGTCGGAGAAGGTCATCTCCTGTGTGTCAGAAAAATGAGCCTCTGACTGCTGAGGTATCTACAAAAGGGCTCCTTGCATATCTTAACAGCCATACAGGTTTATAACAGCAAAGTTGCTCTTTTAGATATTAAGGCCCTCAGTTATTGAGGACTTTAAAGTAAATACCACCACCCTAAATTGTACCTGGTAAGCAGCTGGCAACCAGTGCAGATCTTTCAATACAGGCATCATTATATCCACTTGTGCCACCTGGTCAGGCAGGGAGGGTATGCTGTGGACCCCGTCGATAAAAGAATGTCGACTGGCAGGGTCCAGAAAGAGAGCCTTCTCTGCCATGGCCCCTGCCCTATGGAATAGTCTCCCCCCAGAGGTGAGGCAGGCTCCAACTCTCTTGTCCTTCCAGAAGGCAGTCAAGACCTGGCTCTGCCAACTGGCATGGGGCGAAAAAAGGGGCAACCAACCCTGGGGGTGGCTAGCACCTCGAAGACATTCCCATATGTTAGCATCTTACTGACCATCAACATCTTGGAAGATATTTGTGTATGTGTTTGGTTTTTATTCTATTTTTATTGTATTTTATATTGTTTTTATTGT